CGATATATAGTAACAACAATGTGATATATAGTAACCAAAATACGATATATAGTAACAAAAAAGCAATACATAATAACAAAAATGCGATACATATTAACAAAAATGTGATATATAGTAACAACAATGTGATATATAGTAACCAAAATACGATATATAGTAACTAAAATGTGATATGTAGTAACAAAAATGCGACATATAGTTACAAAATTGTGATATATAGTAACAAAAATGCGATATATAGTAACAAAAATGCGATATATCGTAACAGAAATGTAGTATATAGTAACAAAAATGCGATATATAGTAACCAAAATGTGATATATAGTAACAAAAATGCGATATATAGTAACAAAAATGTGATATATAGTAACCAAAATACGATATATAGTAACTAAAATGTGATATGTAGTAACAAAAATGCGATATATAGTTACAAAATTGTGATATATAGTAACAAAAATGCGATATATGGTAACAAAAATGCGATATATGGTAACAAAAATGTAATATATAGTAACAAAAATGCGATATATAGTAACAAAAATGCGATATATAGTAACCAAAATGTGATATATAGTAACAAAAATGCAATATATAGTAACAAAAATGTTATATATAATAACAAAACAAAAATCCGATATATAGTAACATGTAGTAACAAAACTGTGATATACATATGTATAAAGAACATTTTTGTTGGTAGGCACTTTATATAACATATGTTATGTATGCATGTTATGAAAAACACTTTGCTATGAATTATCCAGCATATAGGAAATACATTTGCCAGTAATAAGAGTGATCATTTTATTTCTAACATAAAAAACTATATATCATTAAAAAAAAGTGATCTGCTTTTTATTTTGTTTTTATTCTAAAAAACATAATTTTTCATTTTTTCTACACTTGGACGTTGTCGATTTTTATTGAAACATTTATCTTATAATCTGTTTTTTTTTGTATTTGTATTTGTATGACTATTTTTATCTCGGCCCCAGAGATGTTACGTTTCAATAAATATTATTGTAAGAGTTCAGCTATTTAATTTTGTTGTCATCTAATCACCGGTTTCTTTTTATACATGTATTAAGAATTATAGTATTTAATCTGCTACATTATACCCACCCTCACCCAACCCTGAAACCAACTCCCCATACAGTGCCTTACTTGTTATTGTCCAAGCCCTTAGTGGTATAGGAATGAACTGATGCATTCTTGGAATACTTGGATAAAAATGTCAGTGATTTGTCTCATCATTTAGAGAGGGGTTAGAAAGCTGTATAAACTCAGTATACTGACCACATTATAGTTCATTGCCCCCATGCCCTAGCTGTTTTTCTCTGTGGGGAAACAAATTTCAGCAACCTACCAATTTGGACTTTTATTAAATGTATAAAAAAAATATGATAAATAAACATACATTTGATTCACTGCAATATGTCTTAGTTATAATCAGACGTAATCAGTTCAGGTCAAAAACCTCCGGACCCCACTCTAGATCTGCATTGACCTTATTAGTGAGTTATTTTTTCATGCTATGTGCTTTCTGTAATAAAATAAATAATGATGTCTCTTTCATGTTAAATTTGGTCGATATCCCAAATAGTTGACCAGCTTTGTTTGTTTTGTGGGTTTTTTTAAAAAAAAAAATGGGTCTTTTTTGCATCATTGAATAATATGAAATGCTGCAAGCCAGTATATATGTAGTGAAATGGGAGTGTTATGACCAGTTTTAATTTAAATTAATTTAATTCTGGTGCTATTAAACAGTTGTAATTTCATTTTAATAGCAAATATAACATTATTTCTATAGTTTGTATGTAGTTTATGTCAAATTAGTGAAAATACCATTATTCCTGTGGTTTTCATGAAGCTTATGCCAAATCAGTTTACATAAATAAATTACATGTGCACTAATTTGTAGTTTTCAGTGAAACAAAACATCTCAGTAAATCATTAAAAAGGGTGTGTCTGTCATGTTTATCAAATGTTTATATTAATGTAAATTAGTTTATTTACCAGGTGTGAGCATCTGTTCTTTTTGACCCTCAACATAGCCTCACATATGGCAGTGTTTCATCACAGGGGTTCCATATATCCACACTGGAGACTAGCTATTTGATATCTTGCATTTCATCTGCATATTTACCACATATTGCAACTTGAACTATATGATGTAATAAATGTCATGTCTTAAAATCAATGAGTTGCATTTCTGCTTGACAATTTTAGACCTACCTCACTTACATTTTCTGCAGTGAATTCTGAACATAAATTTTCTACTTACCGTATATGTTGTGAAAAAAACATTATTTTATCACCATAGTCTTGGCACTAATCACTCACCCAAATAAGACAAGTCATGTAAAAAGCATTAACTTCAAGTTTAGATTTTATTTTCCATTTTTCAGGAGCACAATCAACCTGTACACATCAGTTGACTTCCCAATCATAAAATTGAATTAAATTAATTTTTTTAAGTATTTTTTTTCCAAATTAAATAGATATTTTGCTTTATTAATATATAATCGATGTGGCTCACTGTAAGAAGCTCAAATATATATAAACCATAAATCTTTATCTCATATATTGAATCATTAAAATATGACAAAAAATTGTCATTTATGTAATTTCATGCAAGATTTTCTGTTCACTTTTTACTTTGGTAGTTGACATGTAAATCAAACTTGACTGACTCGCGCCTCAGAAAGATTTGAAAGCTCTGGTTGTGTACAATTTATCATGAATATTTCATTGTGAATGTACCCAAGAAACAATGAAAATAATCCAATAAAATTAAATTCACTAATAAACTGCATAACATGCCTATATAATGATTTTGATTTTTGTGAACCTACAAATTCATTATTTTTTTTTTTTTCAATTTCTAACTTTAATCCTGGATGTGTGTGTCAATCAGGTGGTCTGTATTATGTTAACAGGCCATCTTGATCCTGGCTATCTTCACTGTTTATCTACATAGATACTTGGATCCAAGTTTAGAAACCATCCCATGCTTAGATTTCACTATGGTTAAACCATTTGGTAAACAGAGGGGGTTATGTTTATGTTTATTTCATTATTTATTAAATTTGTTGTGGATTTTTAATCTCAAAAATAAAAGTTATGAGCAAATAACAAAAGTCCATCAGAAATGTGAGATACAAACGTTGTTATTTCTACATCATCTTTCCCCTTCTGAAGTGAATGGTATGGTCCTAAGTCACTGTTGTTTGACCTTAACATATTTAGAATTTTACACTTGTACTGTAGAATTCATTATTTTCCATCTATTTTTACGGAATTGATAAATAAGTAGTACCAATAATAATTATGGCTTTCAACAAAAAATAATCCTAGTTTATGCTTTAATAACTTTTTGGGTTGAATGTGACTTTTTTAGAAAAATATCTTATTCTGTCATTTTTGTTACCTTATTTAAAAATAAACTTGATATTTGCGATTTGATGATTTTGTGATTTACTGATTTCATTCAGACTTCCATGATGAAATGAAAGTTGTTGATTTTTTTCAGAAAATTGAACCAAAAAGTGTGTGACTCAATTTGATTAAAATTAACATGTCAAGAAAAAAATATGACTTATGGTTAGAAATCTTTTAGAATAAGTTTGCTAACTTATAGAATGGAATGTGTTTTCAAATGTGTAAGGGTCGTTCTGTTGCAGTGTATCATAATAAATAATTTTCTTGCACCACAGACATTAAGAAATGTTTTCATAATAAAAATATTTTGTTTCTGAAATTCTCTGGAACTGATTTAATTAGAGCAGAACACTAAACTGTTGGAAGGTCTATAGAACTCTTATATGTGGAATATACCATCTGATATCTTGAGTGCAATGCTCTGAAACCTTAATCTAAAGTCTGTAAGTCTAGACCCTAATCGGAAAAAGCAGCAACCAAATATAAAATGTTTGCTGTGTTTATACTACAATTGGAGAATTGAGATAGCTACCAAAAAATCATAAATTCTAAAATATAGAATAGGATCTAATATTTTATTTGGAATTTGCGCAATACGTGTTGCATAAATAGTACATGTTGTTCTTTATGTTTACTTTCATTATTTTCAGTTTATCCGGAATTTCGCCATTCCAGGGCAAAACTGTGAGGGAAACTTTTGAAAATGTACTTGCTGCAAGATGGAACTTTGATGAAGCTTTTGAAGAGTTGTCCACATCCTGTAAAGATTTTATCAGCCATCTTCTGTGTGCAGATCCTAGGTCAGTCAAGTCCCCCTATTGACTACTATATATGGTATGGGTTATACGTGTATACACTCTACTTAGCTGGTATGTGCCAAACTGCCTTTCCTTTCACAGGGCCCCTTTTTATATACCAACATCTGATCTTTGCAGGGTTAACTATCATGCCCATTAAAGGCGGTCAACCTACGAAACATGTGTTGTACAGTGACTGTACAGTTTTGAAAGTTTATAAATTGTCCCTGTGGTTTGCTTTGTTTTTGTGTTGATGTTTATGTGAGTTTCAAATAAAAGAAGGATGGTTGCACTACTGATGGATGTTTATTGAGTGTGAATTTAAAATGTAAAGTTTATGTTGTTGTTATGTGTTAATCAATTGCTTTATCAGTAAAAGATCAAATGGGGCAAAGTGTCTCAGACATCCTTGGCTGTCTTCAAGAAATGAGGAAATAACCATACATCTACTGGACAGAGACAGACTGAAACAATTTGTAGAAAGAAGATTGAAGGTAGAGTAATTTCAACTTTTGACGTCTGCGCTACATGCTTTACACACGTACATACTCTTTACTGCTAATATATGCGTATCCTTTGTCCATTATGAGATCTCCCAGCCAATCGCTGCAGCTGTTTATCTTGACCCACCAGCGCTCTCATTGGCTAATGCTGATGATATTTCTCGTAGCTCTCATGTTTCCCATTTTTATCATATTTTGGCCTGGTCCGGGATTATTTTCCTCCCTTGCAGTCTGCTAACAGCACTCTTTGCCTGGTTTTTACCACAGACAGTAGACTCTTCTAAGGCTGTGACTCTTCAACCAACAACAATCATGGGAGGTAAGTCGCATTTCTTCTTTTAGTTTCTATCTTCCCTCTGTATTTTTAACATGTTTCCCCAATTTAGCTTGCTGCATTTGCAGCTTACTACAAGCAATTTGCAATATATTTATGGCTAAAATGTGTAACATTGCTGAAGGCAGTTTAGGGTCATGTGATCATCCACTTAATACAGCTCAAGTTCATAGTCAAAACTCTGATGTGAATGCAGATATTTTTTTTTAGGAAGATTTAAAATAGGTTTTGTAGCCTTGCTGGAAAATATGTGTCTCGCCAGTGTCTAAGTGTTAGTGGAGAGATAGGACATTTTAGTATTAGATATGGGGCCTCCACATGATATAGGTAATTTATAGTTGACTATTTGTGGGATGTTTTAACTATTTAGACTTTTTTCTCATTCAAAAACCTTCCAGAAATATTGAATAAAAGTATGACTTATGTTTGTTTCCCCTATTTTTGATCATACTGATTTTTTTTTATTCTGATTTGTTTATGTAGAGGAGTGTTGTCCATCATT